CTGTCAGAAGGAAGCTTCCAGGCAAGAGCCTGGAAGTTTCCCTGTAGGGAAACAGGCTGGGGCCTGTAGGCCCTGTCAGAAGGAAGCTTCCAGGCAAGAGCCTGGAAGTTTCCCTGTAGGGAAACAGGCTGGGGCCTGTAGGCCCTGTTAGAAGGAAGCTTCCAGGCAAGAGCCTGGAAGTTTCCCTGTAGGGAAACAGGTTGGGGCCTGTACAGCATGTAACACAGGACGACAATCACAGCCAGTGGACAGGTCAGACACCCGCCAGAAATATTTATAGACGGTTTGGATAGCGTCTGCAAAGGACTGGTCGGTCTGCACACCGCTTCTATCAGCATGGCAAGGAGCCTCAAAGGACAAAGCAGCATGGCCTGCATGCACTACTCCCATGGGTTGGCATGGTGACCGTAACCCGTGCTTCGACCAGGGCCCTTCAGAGGCATCGCCCTCTCCTGCCAAATGTGCCACCGGGAAGAATGTCGTCTCTCAAGGTAGAGCGCACACGACTCCTCACACAAAAGAGAGGACACTCAAGGTTGGACTCACTTCCTCATGGTAAGAAGATTGAGAGGGTAGATAAGGTAACGGAGCAACGTACCTGGAGATAGCTGCCCCCAACCACAAATTTCTCACCAATTGAGCCGATGTGCATTTCGATGACAGGTCATAGCTTTGGTACCACCCACAACGCAGTAGTGCCACCTCAGCCAAAATGCAACACCACCATGCTCTCATCATCATACATACATCCGTTGTCGCCACAACTTCCACGTTGTTGCCACAGCCTTCCAGCAGCTGGCCCCTCTACCTGGGCCCCACTCTATCAAGCCAGCGCCAAAGTATCCTCACTGCACAGAAGCATCGTCAGCGCACCAAGTAATAATGTCGCCAGCGCCAAGTGGCGATCTCGAACCAGCTCCGATACCAAATTGCAAGGAATATGAGTGGGAACGATATACAGAAAGCCAAGTTGCGAAATCACACAGATGTCCACGTAGTCGTGTACAAGCAAAGAGCACAAATGCACCAAGATTCCATCCAAATAAGAGCAATACAATGCAGTAATGAGCCAATGTTCAAGCCCTCAAGCCACACCAACACAGTATCCAAAGTCACTCCTGCCTGTCTGGCGCCCAGCGCCCATCCTACGCCACTCGACTACCTACCTACATCAGCATTCCCGCAAAAGGCTCACTTCGACTCTCGAAGACCAATGTACATGACGTCAACACCATAGCCGACCTCTCCCATGTACCAGGTACGTATCTCATCTCCCCTCATCAGACCCTGTCCACCCACACTTGCCTCCTTCCTGAAGACCACTGATCGCCCTCTCACCCCCTAGCGCCCTGCAGCCCAGCTATGGCTGCTCGCGCTCCGCTGCCCAGCAGCGCCCCTCTTCACCTCACACGCACCCGCACGCGCTCAGCGCAGCACGCAGCCTCTAACGCAGCAGCGCAGCACCGTGACCGCATTGCCTGCGTGGGCCAGAATGCCAGACCCTGGCTCCTTCCTATATGGAAGTGGCAGCCTCTGCTTGGCTGCGTGTGGCCTGGCTGGAAGCTTCCAGTAGTTTCCGGTTGGGTCCCACTACCTGCGCCCAGGCCCAGTGCTACAGTTAAGGGCCTGGGCCCTTTACAGTTGGGCACGGCCTGAGTCTCCAGACTTGGGCCGTTTCCTGCATTTGCACAGGACCCGGGGTATGTGCATCGACAGTGCTGCTTTTGCGTAGGCCTATAGCCACTTCGTGATGTATCGGCCCTGCAGTGTGTGTATGTGCCCAGGCGCATCTGCCACAGCCTGGGCCAAACTGTACGACGCAGCTTAGGGAGGCTCACGCGTCCACTCAACCAACTTGCGGGCTGTAACAGCCTGAGTACCCACATATGAAAAATGTCGAATTTTGGGCTCTAGTGAATATTCAGGCCTGCCTTCACTTAGTGCGGGCACTTGGCTTGCTGGGGGACTCTGCCCAGAACATGTGCATGTCTGATAAGGGCCCCGCGAGGGCTCATTCCTCGCAGTTCATTCAATCATGAAATTATTCATTCAATTAAATTACATTGCGGGTACTACGGATCCTCTGCGATCCACCTTTATTGGTGGACTTCACCAGTATTACCTAAAAGGCTGTGTTGTAACGACATGTCGTTTCGCCTCCTGTCCCCAATTAATTGGGTAATCTGCCTCTTTCAATTCAAACCTAGGTGAGCATATCCACCACCCGGTAAGAGGCACCTCAGCGTACGATCGCGCACTATCTATTGTCTGGGGGGACATATGTGCACAATGGCAGAGAACCCCTAGACAGGGAAACCAGAATCCAGATCAGGCTAAGGAACTAATGGGTATGTTCCAGAAAAAGGTGCTGGCCCAAGGCAAGGTAGCTACAATAGAAGGAAAGAGGTTGGTATTCCAACGGTTCAGGGATAGACAGTCCCACTCCCGCCCAGAGACGCAGAACTATTCTTCTCAAATAGGAGAAGCATAGAGAAGGAAGGTGTTAACGTTCTACAGGCAGAGTCATTGAATACACAGGGAGGTGCACAAAATATTGACAAGGAACCATTTGCCAGAAGAGAGGAGTATGTAGGTTGGTATTCCAATGGTTCAGGGATAGACAGTCCCAGTCCCGCCCAGAGATGCAGAACCATTCTTCTCAAATAGGAGAAGCATAGAGAACGGAGGTGTTACCGTTCTGCAGGCAGAGTCATTGAATACACAGGGAGGGGCACGGAATATTGATAAGGAACGGTTTTCCAGAAGAGAGTATGTAGGTAACCAATGCATAGGGTTAGTAGTAGTGTTACGTGGAGTTAGAGTTTAGGGTTTTAACCTGTGTTATCACCTTGTTTGACCGGGCCGCCCGGCCGGGCAAGGACCAGGGAAGGTCCCTGTTAAAATAAAAATTCAAACAAATGCGAAAACAAATTATGTTGTGCAGAAAAATAAACTGAACAACTTTTTCCTTAGGGTCGGACCGAAATTCTTCACGAAATAAAAAACAAAAATAAAATTAACTAGGTTAGGCCGACGCCCGGTGCAGACGGACCGGGCCTGACGGACCGGGCCAGACGGACGGGGGGGGTCCCGGCCGGGCAAGTGGTCCCAGGCCACTCTGGTAACATAGGTTTTAAGTTTTAACTTAAAATAGGCGTTACAGAGAAAAATTGAAAAAAAAAAGACATTATTCTTTTAGGTGAAAAGTAGAAGGATAGGGCAGAAAGTATTCAGGAAGCAGAAAGAAGGTGCTTAGGGTTTAAGTATAGGAAAAACAGAAAGTAGCTAGGAAACTCAGAAGGTGGTTGAAGCGATAGGCAAATTCAGGGTTTAGGGTTTTAGCTTAAAATAGGAGGTATACGGCAAAGTTGGTTATCTTTCCTTCTTTATTGGGTCCCTTGTGGGTCCTGTCAAAAGCACAACTCTGGGTAATGCTCCCAGTTCTGGTTTTTATGTGGGGTGGCCAACCCCTCCCCTCTCCTTCAATTAAGCAATGGAAGTGTTGTCCTTCGGGAAAAAAAAAAAAACCAAGAGAATCAGACTACCCCTTCAGCCCCTTAAACAACAATTTATACCCCCCTTTGCCCCCCTTGACAGCCAACACTCGAAAAAAGAAAGGAGCCTGGATTTGGGCTCCTCTGGGCATGTGCAGAAACCCCCCACCCAATTGATTGATTGACTAGTTGACCGACTGCTTGACTGACTAAGTGATGGATTGATTAAATGATTGATGGGCTGATTTACATGTCCCTTACTGTGGCTGTTTCAAACGTAAAAAGAGCGATGATACACAAAATGGTGGAAATATCCCATACATGTTCTTTGTCTTGCGTGTGAAAAGAGGAAGATTCGTACACTCAAAATGGTGTCTGGAAGTGCTTTTTTGATGTCTTCCACTTCTCTTAATCCGCCACATGCCCACGCTTTGACAACCGTCATCTGTTGTTTGTCAGAGCACACAAAGAACCATGATATCACTTGTTATGGAACATAACATAGTGAAACGAACCAATCTTGGAAAAACTCACAAATGCATGCCCTGTATCTAGACAATGATTTGCCAAGCATAAAAGAGAAACATGCCAATGAAATTAGGACAGAAGTGCCCAAGCGGGCTAGCTCAGTTGGTTGAGCACGTAAGTGGTATTCCGGAGGTCGTGGGTTCGATTCCCCATCCCATCCATTCGATCCCCCACGGCCCCTTGTGATGCGCTTCGGGTTCACCAGTAGAGATATTTGGCTTGGGCCTCCTGGCTGGTTGTGGAAGTTGGTTAGGCTTTCCAGCTCATGCCAGGTGTAAGGAGCTGGGATACTAATCCCTGCATAGAGCAGAATACGCTGGGAAGGCTGGAAAGTGGAAACTCAACCCAAAGCATTGAGCATCCCCTGGAAACACTGGACGTATATGTAGGTACGTAGGTAGAGTGAGGTATATGAGTGAAGAATATAGACTATTTAGAAAAAAAAGTAAAAAAAAAAAAAAGGACAGAAGCTAAGAAACATATCAAATAGAAGTAGCCAGGCAGTGCTCTCCCCAGAATATTCATGACTTGCCGGTGGAAGAGGAAACGGACTGACGTTGCCCAGAATAGAATGGAACCAGGACCATAAGGCTGTTAAAAATCGATACAAAGGGTGGTCCCATGTCCACGACCAATCAGCCACTCCAAGTACAAAGCACTGTGATCTGCCATCCAATCATGCATGTTGCTTGTGCTGGCCATTGTGTTTATTTCATGTGTGTGAAGTTTGAACTAAGGTGTTATTTAGCTGCCTGCAGGCATGTGGATTTTGTACCTTCACTCTACAACTGAGCCACTAGTAGCTCTGTTGGCCATTGTATGGAGGCTGTCCCAGCCTGCATGGTAAGCACACTGTGTCCTGCCAACCCCTGAACAAAAACAAACGGCTGTATGGTTGAACCACAGAGTAGGAAACTAAGGAAAACCCCCATGGCACCCTCGAGTTAATCGTGCAAAAACAAGGACTTAGTGTGAAAATTTTGGACACATGTTGCACCCCAGCGCCTCGCTCACCCTCTCACTGACGACAATCAGCACCAAGAACAATTGTAGGTGGTTTTCAAGACCGCTACCGTCTTCCCCCGAACATAAGGCATATGCGTTGTAAACGAATACAACGCATACCGTGCGCTGTATTTGTTTACAACTCATATGCGTTATGTTCGAGTGAACGAGACCAACTTTGCCTGCACAAGGGGGTCGGGTCCAAGCTGAGTAGGCTCAGTTCTGGACCACGGCTGGGAGCCTCAGAGCCTTGGCAAAAAGGTAAACATAAAGTAGCGACGCACCTTTCCATGTTCTGGGTTGAGTTTCATTCCTTTCCCCTACATGGGCCCTTGCTCCACTCCTCAGCAAATGTGCAAAATGCGAATGAATCCTCCACTAGACCGTGGACAAATACAACCCCTTTTTCTTTTGTCTCGGTGACCTCGGTAGTGCAGCGAGACCTTAGTAAGTGGCTTTCTTATTTTTCCTCTTTCTTGGCCGCGCCACATTCTTGGTTGTAAGAAGTGCCACTTTCTTGGCTTTCAGAAGCGCCTTCGCTCACCGAGAGGGAGAGAGAGAGAGAGAGAGAGAGAGAGAGAGAGAGAGAGAGAGAGAGAGAGAGAGAGAGAGAGAGAGAGAGAGAGAGAGAGAGAGAG